GTTATCAGCTGCCTAAGTTTACCTAAGGTCATTAGTTGATGTTATCTGCTAAATCTTTTAAGAATAAAATGCTTAAAGGCTGGGCTTTGTCTAATATTCAGTAAAGGTCTTGTAAGTAATCTAGCATAGTTGTTACGAATGAGTGAACTAAATAAGTGTGGCAAGTGAACACCTTTTTAATTGTGTGTTACAGTGTGTATACCTATCTACAGCCTAGAAATCTTTATAGTAACCTAAAACCTTAAAATTTTGCTGAGTTAAAAAGATATACTTTGTGCTTAGTGAGAGATTGTGTTGTAAAGCTCATAGTTAACAGAAATTATAAAATGTTCATAAATTTGTCAATCCAAAGAATGCTAGTGTAACAGTTTATAATAGCCTACTTCTCAGTATTCACTAAAAATTAAGGTACCTAATAGTTTTAAGTTCTAATTAAAATTACTTAAAGTAATAAAGAAAACATTTCTGCATGCTAAAGAATGTGTCTTTTGATAAAAGAGAGTAACTTTGTTCTAAAATACAGCTGTTTATTTAGAGAGAGAAATCTAAATGTAAAAAGGTTGTAGAAAGTTTGTAGAAGAATTTAATATAGTCATGCTATATAAAATTAAAGCAAATGAGTCTTGGTATAAAGTACACAGCAAAATTAGAATTTTGTTTTCAGTTAAAAAGACAAAGTTTTCTTAACTATTAGTCTGCTCTTAATATTGAAAAATTACAAAAAGTTCTCTAATTGTTTTATCAAAGCAGTTTCTCATGCTTACAGTCTCAATGAGTTGTCAGAATATTTAAGAAAATGAGATCTTAAAAGAACTAAAAGCTAAAGTTTGCTAACAACTGTACAACCTTCTTTATTTGCCTTTGAGGTATTTTGTTGTCATTCTGGTTAAATAGATAAGTATTGCTTCATAGCAACCTATAATCCTAGTTAAGCAAGTGCCTTAAAACTCTTAACAGCTTCCCAAAATCAAATTCAAAAAGTACTTTTACCTCTACTTAACTCTGATATTTTCCAGAGGGTCCCTAGAACATGTCAGAGGAACTTTTTCTCATTGGAGAAAGTATTTGGCTAATTGAGCTTACTTATCTGATATAAAATTACCTAGAAAGTACTGTCAAAAAGAATAATGCTAAACTTTGTTACTGAATGTTTTGTATTACAGAAATGTCAGAATTTCCTTATGTCAACTGTCTTACAGTAAGCTCTCATCAGATCTTTAACCATTGTCATTTATAGTCACTGTTTTATTACTCCTAAACTAGCAAAAAAATAGATTTCAGCAGAACAGGTATTAGTTATATAAGATTAAGTAAACTAAAGAAGATGATTTTGTGGCTTTTTGTTTCAAATGTTGCTGATAGTGTTTTAAGCTTTTTCTCTTAAGCTGACAACAGTTTAGTAAATGACTGCCTTTATAAGAGGAATTGAAACTTTATCTTTCTCTCTACCTGATCCCTCCAGAATTTTAAAAAAACTCTCAGTGACTATTTTTATATTTCATGGCACTATGTTTATTTTCACAAGTTCAATAAGAATCTGCTTTCCTTGTAAGAAGACCAATTAGAAACACTAGTTATATTACCAAAGCTTTAACTGGAACATCATACCTGAGAGACATGTGCATAAACTCAGATATGATCAGCTTTAAGGAACTAAGGTTGACTTTATAAAGCCAACAAAGCCCCTTAGAAGAACTGGCCTGGTACCTTGCTTACAAGGTTCACAGCAGCCTTACCAGGTAAGGAAGGTCACACTTCCTGGCAGGTGCAGGAACCTCAGGATGTCTTGCAGACCTCAAGGAGAGAGGAATTCACCCAGATCTACAGGTACTGGAGGCAAAACCTGATGGTAAGTCTGGCTTGGCTGTCTGGCCTCAAGAGGCCTTTAAAAGTTCAATCTGAAATTCCTTACAAAAAGTTCCAGCAAAGCACATTTAAAAGTCTATGTAATCAATTGCTCTTCTTGCTGCACTTACACAAATATTAAGCCAAGTGTTAATTATTTTCTTAACCTGGTTACTTCTAATAAAAATGAGGGTGATTTTAGAGAAAAGTATTGTTTCAATAATGCAGTCTTATCTATACTAAATCCCAATACTATAGTCATTGAGATGTAAACTTGATCCAGAATATTAGTTTCCCCATGATACCTGGCTATGATTCTCAATTAGACTCTTCATATTTCTAGTTCTCATATTCAGCCATGCATACTTAATCTCATCAAGTCTCATCAGAATTGAAGCGCCAACCTTCCGAAGTCCTCTCAACTGACCAGTCATAAAAACCTGGCTGCACCCTTTACTGTGCCCCCTCTCAGCATGAAGCAGCCAGAGCAGTCAGCACCCCTTTTCCCTGGCAGCAGCTAGAGTCTCTATCTGTAGAGGAGAAAATGAGACAGAGACCATAAGCTTAGACAGAATAAAGTTAGAGCTCTGGAGAAAGCAAGGCAAGATATTTGCAGTCAGAGCAATGTAACTACATGCCACGAACCGCCCCCCCCCAAGGACGCCCCTTGTCGGCCAAAAGTAGCCAGATCAAGTCATCACCCATTATGACCAAAAGGCTGGAATATAAGGTTGAAGGCACTGGGGGGAGGGGTGAGCATGTCAGATACTGATGATGTGCCAAAGTCCCTGGCTGCTGCCCCCTCCCAACCTGAAAAATGTGCCTTAAGCTAGCCAATCCTCGCACCGCTGTAAATCTAAGCTCTGCCTCCCCCTACCTTCTTTAGAAAGTCACTGCCTGCCCTGCTGAGTGTGACTTCCCCGGCCTGTGATAGCCAGACCGCGGAACATCACCTGGGAATTTGCATTCAAATAAACTACCTAGCCCTTTGTTGCCTCTCTTTGCCTGCTTATTTCAGCTAGAATTTATCTTACATTGAGCACAATCTTTCTGAAGGTCTTGGTACCTTTGCCTTAGGAGCTCATCTTAAGACCTGGTATCTCCCTCCCTTAGTGTAAATTTACAGCTTAGTGTAAACTTACAGAGCAGGAACCTTATTTTGGTTCACCAGTATCTCCAACACCTAGAACATCTGGAAGAATGCCTGGACACAGTAAGTGCCCAATATGTTTTCATTAAATGAATGCATATGTAGTCTTGATGCCAGGGTTCTTGTTGGCAGAGTGGAAGAATGAACTTTGCAAACTCAAGGTAGGAGAGCCAGGGAGAGATTTTTATTTAGAGATAAAGAGAGAGGACAGACCTCCTGGCTCAGGCCAGGAGGGGACAAGAGAGTCCTGGGGTGGTACCTTGTCTAGGCAGTTGAGAGACAAAGGGCTAGGAATGTACACCTGCTAAGTGGTCCCAAAATGTTTATCTTTGAAGAGACATTAAGTTTCTTATTAGTCTTCCTGGTTATTTATAAGAAATGTACTGCTCTGATTTCCTCCCAGGATAGCAGCTTCCTGGTTGGGAGCATATCACTCAAGACTGCCGGCCTTGCTCCCAAGGTGGGCTGAGTTAATTGTCTTTTTCTTAAAGAGTATGTTAAGAAACTTACTTTTTAACTAATTGGGTTTTTAAATGCAGTCTTATTTTCAAGATGGACTCCTTCCTGTTTGTTTTGGCCTTGCTTGTTAAACTGCCCAGGTGGCAAATAATTTTATTAGGGCTGGAGGAAGAAAAGCAGCACCTGGGTAAAATCAGAAAAACAAGCTGGGTCCCCCAGAAGTCCAAAGTAAATCTCACAGTGGATTATCTTGATTTGTTTTTTCCAGAGGCCATCACCCCACTCTATCTAAACCCATGGTTCCTATCTCAGTCTTTAAGAAAATATTTCTTGTGTGAGTAGGGGTCTTTCCCCTGTTCCTGAGACAGGGACCCTGGGTGTAGTCAGAGTAGGGTGAGGGCCTCCAGAAAAAGCAAGGCAGGATATTCGCAGTCAGAGCAATGTAACTACATGCAAGAAAAGCCCCCTACTAAAACTCTGTGTTAAATCTTCAGCTCTAGAGTCATTCTTCAGTGAGATCAGTTGGTGTACCCCAGATAAAGAAGAGCAGCACATGTTTTTATTATGCTAATCATTTATAATCATGTGTAAGATTCACTTTAACATGCTAAAAGACCAGGCCTGTGTGCTGTTTTCCTCCTTCAGATCTAATGAGGTGATTTTGCAAACTGGGCAAACTGATTTAGCATGCAGGCCCAGCCAGAACACAGTAAAGGGCAAGAAGGAGTCCACCTTAAAGATAAGATTGTACTTAATTTACTCTTTAGCAAACAATGCCTCAGCCCACCTTGGGGGGGTGAGCAGGTGGCCTTGTTTCATATGCCCCCAGACCAAGATGCTGGCATCTGGGTGGGGTGGGCAGAAATCAACAGAGCCAGAGGTTACTTGTATCAAGTTATATGTAAATATCCTAGGACAAATTAATAAATCCACAGCCCTAAACTTTTTTCATGTTCTGGAAAAATCCTCATCTGCCTATAAAACCCCCTAGACAATGCACCACTGTGGACTCTGTTTTTCCCTCCTAGCGTGAGCCGGGAGGTCTGTCCTTTCACTTTATCTCTAAATAAAAGCCTATACCTTGCTCTCCTACCTTGCCGGAGACCAAAAGGCCCCCACCCACAAAATGGCGAATTTCCTGCTTCTCTTCCGGGTCCTTTGCTCCCGCTGGCGCCAACCAAGGCCCAATCACCCCTCTACACCTTCCCACCAGCACCATCTGAAAGCCAATTGTTTTTTGACCTGCCCCTTCCTTCATAACCTGTATAAATTGAGCCTGTAAACAATAAACTGTGCCAGCTTGATCAGACATCCTGTCTTGCTGGTTGTTCTTTGTGTCCCTTGCTTGTTTCATTTCTGCAGGCGTCTCCGGCTATGCCCCACGTTCGTCCTGCGGGTCGGGACAGACTGGCGCCCAACGTGGGGCCCCCCCGGGACCCGAGACTCCTGCTGAAATGTCTGCTCGTAAGCCCTGGCCAGGCATTCATTTGAGTCATCGCACGGGTATTCACCTGATGTCGACTCTGCATTGAGGATCACTGCGGCTCACCCATCTGTAATACAGATCCCCGAGAGGTGAGTAGACGCATCACCCAAGCAAGCATCTTAAATACCTCTTATGAGTTCTCACTGATCCCCTCCCTCTAGTTTGCTGCCGCGATTTATTCCTTGTCCTGTCCTCTGGTTGTTCCTCTCTGAAAACCTTGTGCTTACTTTGGGCTAACGGTCATTCACCTCTAGGGCCTGCACAAGGGACTCTGACTACAGAGTCCCTGCCCTAGAGGGTCTGAGCAGGCAGATTATACTTGCCGGCCATCCTACGTAAGCAAGGGCTAGCCTGAGCTGATGAGAGTACCTCCAGTAGTTCAGAACATTAGCGTAGTTGCGGCTGCATTAGTGTAATTCTAGCTTACATAGAGTAGAAATCCCAGTCAGCCTAATGGACAACTCACTGAACTCTCACAAGGTATTTCTTAGCGGACTCAAGGAGTCCCTCAGGACACGAGGTGTAAGGGTTAAAAGAAAAGATCTTAGACAATTTTTTTCCTTTATTCATGAGACTTGCCCTTGGTTTCCCCTCGAAGGCACTGTCGATCATAAACAATGGAAGAGAGTTGGTGATGCCCTCCAGGACTTTTATCGGACCTTTGGCCCTGAAAAAGTTCCTGTTTCATCATTTTCTTACTGGAACCTTATTCATGACATCCTTGAGGTTCATTCTCAAGATCCTGACATTAAAGATATAATCAAAACAGGAGAAATAGCCCTTAAGGACAACTCCCGACCACCCTCTGCCTGTCCTTCAGTAGCCGTAGATATCCCTGAAGACCCCACCGTTCCTACTAAAGAATCTCCTAAACTTCAACCTAATATAAATTCTTCAGACACCCACGATAAACCTGATCCTCCTAAAATCCCAAATATCTATCCTTCACTCACGTCTTTAAGACACCAAACAGATCATTCAAACCTAAGAAATGAAGAGCCCATAGAGGAGCAAGCTGTCCATTACTATGAGCATGAAGACCCCTGGCGCCTTATGGCGCCAACCCTTCATGGTGCCACTAATAGAAGCTTCAGACCCCCTCCATATAAACCTATTTCCCCTCAATGTGTTCCTATATTTCAAATCCCTGATTTAGAGCCATCTCACAACTTCCCCCTCTCATCTGACCCCATCCGACAAGCAAAAATTTCTCTAACCAAAGAAGTCTCTTCACTTAAAGAAATTTTGCAACAAAAACGTGAACATGTTCAGCTCATTAAAGAGATTAAAGCCCTTGACACTGAACTAACATCATTAAATCCCGTGCAAACTCCCTCACTCCCCAAAAACCCCATAAATAAAGTGAAACCTAAAAACCCAATCCTAGCCTTCCCAGTCACTCGCGGTCGCCCACTCGCCCACGGCCGTCGCCCAGAAAACCCCCCAGAAGTCAGAGAAGAGAGGACGAGTATGCCCCTGACTCCCAAGACCCAGATATTCCAGACCAAGAACAGAATTCCGAGGGAGAGCCCTCAGACAATGAAAGGTCTGGTAATCATATAGAAAATTCAGCTAAAGCCCAAAAATATCGCCGCCTTAACCTTAAACACCTAAAAGACTTAAAAACAGCTGTTACCAATTATGGCCCCACGGCTCCTTTTACATTAGCCTTAATTGAAAGCCTGAGCTATCGATGGCTAACTCCTAATGACTGGCTTTCCCTAGCTCGAGCCACATTGTCTGGAGGAGAATATGTTTTGTGGCGCAATAGTGAAAGTAAAACTTCACACTCATGGACAAGAGACAAACTGCTCGGGCGAAGCCTCTATGAAACAAATGAAGCCCAAGCAGCCTTCCCCCCAGGCCTTTTAGCTCAAGTCCAAAATGCAGCCCCTAAGGCCTGGCTGCGCCTTCCTCCTAAAGGCTCCGCTACTACCTCCCTAGCAAAAATCCGCCAAGGTCCTGACGAGCCTTAAAGCAACTTCATTAGTCGCCTAACAGACGCTGCTGAGCGACTAGTTGGGGGGAGGAGAAACAGAAAGTGCCTTTGTTAAACACCTAGCTTATGAAAATGCTAACCCGACCTGTCAAGAAACCATAAGACCTCACCGTTCCGGCAGTCTCTCCGATTATATTAAACTTTGCTCAGGCATAGGAACCTCTCACGCAATCGATTAGCCATAGGAATGGCACTAAAAGACATTAAAATAGATAACAATAAACAAAAAACTTGCTTTAATTGCAAGCAACCAGGACACTTTGCCCGCCAGTGTCCGACAGGGACCCAGCCTCACCTGCCTCGCGCTCCCCCAAAAACTGCCCTCGATGCTGGCGCGGTTTACATTGGGCTAAAGACTGCCATTCTAAGACAACTATTGAAGGCATACCCCTCCCACCGCTTCAGGGAAACTCCCAGAGGGGCCTGCCCCTGGCCCCATCACCAAGCACGAACCAAGGGGCTATCAGGTTCGTTCCCCAAGCCCAACAGCAGCGAATCCTCCCTGCGCAGACATCAGTTCTCCCTCCTGTGCCATCCCAAGAAGCACAAGATTGGACCTCTGTTCCGCCACCAACACAATATTAATACCCGACCAAGGTATCCAGCTGCTCCCCACAGAAACCTATGGGCCTTTACCCTCCAGCACCTTTGGTCTAACTTTAGGACGAAAAAGCCCTGCATTAGTTGGCCTCCATATTATACCAGGAGTTGTTGATAATGATTATACAGGACAAATCACTCTCCTAGCCTCTGCTCCAACAGGCCCAATATCCATATCTAAGGGAGAGCGAATAGCCCAACTCCTGCTACTCCCATTAGAGTCAACACATAAAAGTTGTAATACAAATTCCAGATCAAATGCTGCCTTTGGCTCTTCTGATGCCTATTGGGTACAACAAATCACCACTGAAAGGCCATTGTTAACTCTACAATTAGATGGCAGATCCTTTGAAGGATTGGTTGATATAGGAGCAGATGCTACAGTGATATCAGCCCAACAGTGGCCTCCTAGTTGGCCCTGTAATACATCTGTAACCCATCTCAAAGGCATTGGTCAATCCACTAACCCCAAACAAAGTTCTAAGATTTTAATCTGGAAAGATAAAGAAGGAAATTCAGGACAAGTCCAACCTTATATAGTAGCTGGGTTACCCATTAATTTATGGGGACGTGACGTTTTATCTCAATTGAAACTTGTCATGGCTAGCCCAAATGATATAATCACCTGACAAATGCTTAACCAAGGCTATCTGCCCGGCCAGGGCCTAGGAAAAAATAGCCAAGGTATAAAAGAGCCTCTTACTGTTATACCCAAGAATGACCATTTAGGAGTAGGGAATAAAAATTTTCCGTGATGGCCATTGACTTTCCTGTACCCCATGCAGACAAAATAAAATGGAAGTCAGACTCTCCTATCTGGGTAGATCAATGGCCATTAACTCAAGAAAAACTTACAGCAGCCACAAAGTTAGTACAGGAACAATTAGCTGCTGGACACTTAGGATCCACCACCTCTCCTTGGAACACTCCTATATTTGTAATTAAGAAAAAATCAGCAACTTGGAGACTCCTCCAAGACCTCAGAGAAATCAACAAAACCATGTTCTCGATGGGAGCCCTTCAACCCGGTCTCCCCTCTCCAATAGCCATCCCAGCTAATTATTTCAAGATCATTATTGATCTTAAAGATTGTTTCTTTACCATTCCACTCCATCCCCAAGATAGAGAATGCTTTGCATTTAGTATTTCCATCACCAATTTTAAAGGGCCAATGTATCGCTACCAGTGGAAAGTACTCCCTCAAGGTATGGCAAACAGCCCCACTCTGTGTCAAAAATTTGTAGCCCAAGCTGTAGATCCCCTCAGACCCCGGTGGCCTTCCATCTATATCATTCATTATATGGATGATATCCTCCTGGCTGGAGCATCCAATTCTGAAGTCTTAAAATGTAGCCAAGAATTGACCATCGTCTTACCTTTTTCGGTCTCCAAATTTCTCCAAACAAAATTCAGTTAACAGATCCCTATTACTACCTTGGTTTTGAATTAACTTGAAACAAAATCACTACCCAGAAGATCCAATTAAAAACATCACACTTACAAACACTGAATGATTTCCAAAAGTTCCTAGGAGACATTAATTGGCTCAGACCCTATCTTAAATTAACCACTGGAGAGTTAAAAACCTCTTTTTGATATACTACAAGGAGACCCCAATACCTCATCCCCTCAGAAACTGTCCACCAAGGGAAAAGAAACTTTAAACATTGTTGAAACAGCTACACAACAACAACAAATTACGTTCCTATCCTATGACAGGCCCTTTGCTCTTATCATCTGTAATACGCCACATACCCCTACTGGAGTTTTATGGCAAAATAATCCTTTGTTATGGATCCATTTGCCCTCCTCCCCATCTAAAGTTCTTATCACATACCCCTCACTAGTTGCAAAGATCATAAAAATAGGCAGAGAACAAAGCCGCCAGCATTTTGGCAGAGACCCTGATCAGCTTATCATTCCTTATACAAAAGAACAAACAGATTGGCTGTCTCAGAATGTAGATGACTGGATTATATCCCTTGCTTCTTCCAAGGTAAAACCGATAATCACTATCCCTCGCATAAACTCCTTCAATTCCACGACTACATCCCTTTATTTTCCCAAAGATAACCTCATCCACTCCTTTAGAAAATGCCTCTCTAGTTTTTTCTGATGGCTCCTCCTCTGGTATTGTTGCCTCTGTTATAAACTCACAGAGTTACAGTATTCAATCACCCTTCAAATCAGCCCAACTTGTAGAATTATTTGCTATCTTAGAAGTTTTTAAAATGTTGAGCCAAATCCCTTTTAATCTGTATACCGACAGTGCCTACATAGCATATTCAGTTCCTATTCTAGAAACAGTCCCTTATATTAAACCTTCTACCAACGCTGTTTCCATCTTCCAACAACTCCAAACCTTTATATTACTCAGACAAGCCCCTTTCTATATCGGACATCTGCGAGCCCACACTGACCTTCCTAGTTCCCTCTCCCAAGGCAATGCCCTCGCAGACAAAAATACCCGCTTCACATATTCCATTACAACCGATGCAGTCACCAAAGCTAGTCAATACCATGCTCTTCACCATGTGAATGCTCACACTCTTCGACTTTTATTTAAACTCACCAGAGAACAAGCTAGGCAAATTGTTAAAGACTGCCCGGGGTGTGTAACCTTACTGCCCCTCCCTCATTTAGGAGTTAATCCGAGAGGCCTACTCCCTAATGAAATCTGGCAAATGGATGTCACCCATATCCCTGAGTTTGGAACTCTTAAATATACTCACGTGACTATTGATACCTACAGTGGTTTTATATTTGCCACCCTCCACAGTGGCGAAGCCACCAAAAATTTCATAGCCCATGTTCTCCAATGCATTAGTGTTATTGGTAAACCTCAAAATATTAAAACAGATATGGACGTGGATACACTTGACAAGCATTTCAAAATTTCTGCCATCAATTCCAAATTTAGCATATCACAGGTATTCCTTACAACCCCCAAGGACAAGGAATAATTGAATGAGCCCATCAGATACTAAAGAATACAATTAATAAGCTTAAAACCAACACTGTTTACCCAATAAAAGGCTCTCCAAAAAACCTCCTTAATCATGCACTATTCACGCTCAACTTCTTACAATTAGACAACCACAACAAGTCTGCCGCTGACAGATTGTGGCACCAAGAGACGAAAAACCAATTTGCAGAAGTCTTATGGAAAGATCCTCTAACCTTTAAATGGCATGGTCCCAACCCAGTTCTTATCTGGGGTAGAGGCCATGCCTGTGTATATGATACACAGGGAAATGGACCTCGATGGTTATCTGAGCGCCTTGTCAAACCCATTAATACCCCTTTAAAACATATTCAAAATAACCCAATACATTCCAGGGAGGAGAATCCACCCTGAGAACAGTTTTTCCTTGCCTTTCAGGATGTAGATAAATATTCATCATCATTGGACAAGATGCAGTCGCCAACAATCCTCGTTCTCCTGATCACGACTACAGTTCTGAGTCATCAGCCAGCACCACCACCCATGAAGTCCCGGCATTTCCCCTGGAACTACACCTGGATAGTCCTGTCTGAAAGAGGAGACGTTGTTTGGTCCCGCTCTCAAACCTCACCAGACGTCTGGTGGCCAAACGTTTTACAGCCCGATCTCTGTAAGCTAGCCCTCGGTGCAGGAGCCCCTTGGGGTGTAGAAGATCTTTTTGACCAAAGTGCAACACCTCGTGCCCTTTGTGGGGGTTAGATTCCCCTGGTTGCTCTGACCCAGAACGCCGGTCAGTTCTTAGGTCATACTCCTTTTATGTTTGCCCCAGGCAGCACCGGCCCCATCACCTCCTTCATAAATGCGGAGGCAAGTCAGATTATTATTGTGCATCATGGGGGTGTGAGACCACAGGAGACACTTATTGGAAGCCCTCCTCTTCCTGGGATTATATCACTGTCAAGGCCAATTATACCCACCACAGTACTTTTTGGTCAGACGATGTGATTCCAGGGTGCAATCAGGAGAATACTACTACTAGAGGTTGGTGCAATCCTCTTTCAGTCAAATTCACCGAACCAGGAAAAAAGGCCCCAGGCTGGACACAAGGATATACTTGGGGTCTTCGCTTATATAAAGACCATTATGATGAAGGCATCACCTTTACTATTAAACTCCTAAAAGAGTTCCCTGCCACCCCTTCCGTCGCCATAGGTCCAAATACAGTCCTAGGTGGGAAGCACCCTCCCCCACCAAAGCCCTCCACCCTCTCACCTGACCATAGCCTCACAACTAGTAGTCTTAAACCCTCCTCCACACCACCAGTGCCCGCTTTAGCGAGTTCTAAAGACCTTGTCTTCACCCTCATAAATCAAACCTTCCTTAGTATTAATTCCATCACCCCTGAGCTTACCGCCGAATGTTGGTTATGTTACCACTCTTCTGCCCCCTTTTATGAAGGAGCTGCCATCCCTGGCAATTTCTCCACCTCCAATGATACAACTGCCGTTGGGAACACGCTAGTTGGGAAGGCCTAACCTTGGCCCAGGTAGTCAGTAACGGGACTTGTATAACTAACACTGCAAAAAATCCCTCGTGGGTATGCCCACCTTTGTCAAGAAATCTCTATTGAACAGGGACCCCAATATATTGTTCCCCCCAATGACACCTGGTGGGCCTGCTTAGATGGACTCACCCCGTGTGTCTACAACCCAGTATTACAAGGACATGGCTTTTGTGTTCTCGTTAAAGTTATACCCAGGCTTATTTACTACCGGTCTGACGAGTTCTTCCATATCTGGGAACAATCTTCAGACCCTTCCCTCCCTAAATGCTCCCGCCGAGAACCCATTACTGCTGTTACTATTGCTGTTTTGCTTGGCTTAGGGGCTGTAGGTGCCGGTATGGGCATCTCTTCCTTAGTTCTTTCTAACTCGCTATCACGAACTCAGTGCCACTATAAACCAAGATATCCAAGAATTGCAAAAGGAATCTCTGACCTGACAGATTCGATCTCGTCCCTCGCTGAAGTAGTTCTCCAAAACCGCAGAGGGCTAGATCTGCTCTTTCTGCAGCAGGGCGGGCTTTGCGCCACCCTAAAAGAAGAGTGTTGTTTCTATGCTGACAAAACGGGTTGTTAGAGATAGTATGAGAAGGGTCAGAGAAGGGTTAGAGAAAAGAAGAATAGAAAGAGAGCAGAGTGAAAGTTGGTATAAAAATTGGTTCTCTACCTCGCCGTGGCTCACTACTCTTTTGCCCTCTCTCTTAGGCCCCCTTATAGGATTAATATTGCTCTTGTCTTTTGGCCCTTGGGCTCTCAAACATTTAACAAACTTCATAAAAAAGCAAATTGACACTCTCGTCAGCAAACCCATTCAAGTCCACTACCAGAGGCTCGCCTGTAACGATGACGATCAAGAGGCCTCCTCCTCCTTCTTTCAGCGACCATAGAAGTGACGATAGCCAAAGCCAAAAACGTTTGGTGCTGCCACCCAAACCTGTGCTTTGCAAAGCCTTCGTCACCCCAGTCGAGGCTAGTAGTCAGTGACGGGTAAGACATGGTCGCACACCATCCCATCATGCTCGGCCACCACAAGGCTGCGACAACGTGCGCAGACTACTACCAACCTAAGACAGGGCACAGCCGCCATGAGGGCTGTGACCCCATGATGGGTAAGGAGTAGTCCCTGACCATGCAACCTAAGACAGGCATAGTCCTCGACCCAGCCACACCAGCTGGCCCCTTCTTTTATAAAGGAAGAGGAGGAGATGTGGGAAGCTGAAGACAGGATAGAGCCAAGTGATAAATTAAAGACCCTGCAACAAAACCCAGCCTTAAGACAACAGCAACTAGATGGGTAGTCAATGACGGGTATATGCCTACAGGACAAATATAAGACCTCTGGTTAAAAGGGCCGATCTAATACTGGGGCAAGCTCCTATATAGGCCGATCCAGTATTAGGGCAAGATCCCCTGAATATACGAGGCTGACTCCGAGAGGAGACAAGCTCCTGGATACAGAGGCCAGGTATAAGACCTCTAAACCTAAGACAGGCAACGTCTACCCAAGAAAAGGTGGCTCAAAGCACCCTAAGTGCCGCTCCAACCCCTCCTAAAAGAATAGAAAGGGAGGAGATGCCGGAGACCAAAAGGCCCCCACCCACAAAATGGCGAATTTCCTGCTTCTCTTCCGGGTCCTTTGCTCCCGCCGGTGCCAACCAAGGCCCAATCACCCCTCTACACCTTCCCACCAGCACCATCTGAAAGCCAATTGTTTGTTGACCCGCCCCTTCCTTCCTAACCTGTATAAATTGAGTCTGTAAACAATAAACTGTGCCAGCTTGATCAGACATCCTGTGTCCCTTGCTTGTTTCATTTCTGCAGGTGTCTCCGGCTATGCCCCATGTTCGTCCCGCGGGTCGGGACACTACCTTGAGCGTTTGTGAAGCTTATTCGTCGGCTTCGTGAATAAGAACCCCGGCATAATTCCCAGACAGCAAACCAGCTCTCCTTAGGTGACTCACCCAAGCTTGAAGTCAGTGACAGTGTGTGAGTGAGTTTAAGATGGAGGCAGTTCACCTTTCTGTCTCTAGGTTCTCTGAAATTTTTTCCTCTGGTTGGGGCTGAGGTGGGCAGGAAATGTCCCTGACTTGTGAGCCCCAGAATTAGCTAACTCAAGTCTGGGACAGGGCTTCCAGGGCCTAGGTATCCATCTTAATGCTTCTGCTGTTGTGAAGGTTGATTCTGTCACCTGAACATGAATAGATCTTGGAGAGTTATCAGGGCAGAACATCAGTTTTGAATCTGTTGTGTTTCAGATCAGCCACTCAGAAAAATTATACATTTGGAGGGGGTCAGCAGAAGGAGAATCTTTGGGTGTTGTTAAGACACTGACCTGGTCTCTGAGCCTGTGGCCAAGGCTCTCTTTACCAGGCCTTTCCCATGGCCATAGTCTATACCCAGCCTAACATCTGGCACTTAGGCAGCATCGTCATCCCTACCCTGAGTGCAGTCCTGCACAGCTATTATCTTTCCCATGGCCCAGTGCACTCTGGAGAGGGACCCTTTTCCTGTAGCTGGTGTGGCATCTGCTTGCCCCACAGCAAATACCTCTCATGTTACCTGCTGACTCACACAGGCAAGCTGTCCTACTTCAGCCACGGGCCCACCAGTAGACCCATCAGCCTCGGTCCACAGATCTCAGGGGCTGACCTGACCCAGGGTTGCAAATTCTGCCCAGGTTCTTCCCCAGGAGGGTCTAGACTCCCCTGTGAGTTTCCAGCACTACCCAGAGCTCTTTCAGGCCTGTGTGTAATAGATACCACTTGAAGGGTAGACATTGGTAGGTGACAAAATGCCATGGCTCTTAATAGAAACTTCCTGTTTTTTCTTTTGTCCTTCATGAGCCTGAGAGGTTGGGAGCCAGCTAGGGGTGGGCGGAGTCCCTGAGCAATTGCATCCTTACCCTTTACAGACTTGTCTTCTCCTTTCCTATCTCTGCTGTGATCCACTGTTTATATCTCCAGCTCCTCTGGCTAGGGAGAAGCATTCACCTGATAACAAAAAAAGGGAAGACCTTTGGAGGGAAGCAAACAGAGAAAAGCTCCAGACTAGACCCCAGACCTGCTGAAGATGTGAGTGCATTTCCATGAAGTGTGTGAAATGCTGTGATTGATTTAGCTGGCCAAAAGAAAAGTTATCAAGTCTTCTGAGAGCAGGGCCTGTGGGAGCACAGAGTAGGCAGTCAATAAGAGGGAGGTTTGGAGGTAGATGTATAGAATTGATGCCATTTAGTAAGATAAGGACCCTACGAGGGGCAAGTTGGGGGAAAAGGAATGAGTTTAATTTGAGCCATATCTAGCCTGAGGTGCTTGTGGCCTGTCCATGCAGGGCCAAGGTAGCAGGTGGCTCTGTTCATCAGGAGCTCAGGAGCCAACTCAGGGGCTGACCTGACCCAGGGTTGCAAATTCTGCCCAGGTTCTTCCCCAGGAGGGTCTAGACTCCCCTGTGAGTTTCCAGCACTACCCAGAGCTCTTTCAGGCCTGTGTGTAATAGATACCACTTGAAGGGTAGACATTGGTAGGTGACAAAATGCCATGGCTCTTAATAGAAACTTCCTGTTTTTTCTTTTGTCCTTCATGAGCCTGAGAGGTTGGGAGCCAGCTAGGGGTGGGCGGAGTCCCTGAGCAATTGCATCCTTACCCTTTACAGACTTGTCTTCTCCTTTCCTATCTCTGCTGTGATCCACTGTTTATATCTCCAGCTCCTCTGGCTAGGGAGAAGCATTCACCTGATAACAAAAAAAGGGAAGACCTTTGGAGGGAAGCAAACAGAGAAAAGCTCCAGACTAGACCCCAGACCTGCTGAAGATGTGAGTGCATTTCCATGAAGTGTGTGAAATGCTGTGATTGATTTAGCTGGCCAAAAGAAAAGTTATCAAGTCTTCTGAGAGCAGGGCCTGTGGGAGCACAGAGTAGGCAGTCAATAAGAGGGAGGTTTGGAGGTAGATGTATAGAATTGATGCCATTTAGTAAGATAAGGACCCTACGAGGGGCAAGTTGGGGGAAAAGGAATGAGTTTAATTTGAGCCATATCTAGCCTGAGGTGCTTGTGGCCTGTCCATGCAGGGCCAAGGTAGCAGGTGGCTCTGTTCATCAGGAGCTCAGGAGCCAGGCTTGAGATAGAGGTAAACAGATGATAGGGAGGCCTTATGCAGGGCCTCTGGCTGTAGGTGAACTTGTAGAGGGCGCTTCCGGTCTTTCTCAGACCTTACCTGACTCCCCAGCTGCCCCCACCATCTCCTGAAGTAGAAGCCCCCAGAATTTCGAACAAGCTGCCAATAGAGAAGGTCCTCTTTTATTCACTACATTTTTCTTTTTTCTCCTCAACATTGGGAAAAGTCACCCACTGACGGGCTGAAAGCCGATGATAAACGGCCCGGCTACGAAAACTAACGTCCGAATTCACTGAGGCAGGGCGGGCAGCTCGAAGCTGGACCTGCAGTCTCCCGGGACTGACCTTCCGCCGCGCTAGTCCTTCCTCCCAAGCGGGGCGGGGCTGGGGCTGCGCCTCCCGGCGCGGCGGGTGCGCCAGTGGAGGCGGCGGCTTCCAGGTGAGGGGGCGCCGGGCGCCGCGCTTGTAGCTGTCGCGGCCATTTTGATTGAGGGCCCGAGACAAAGCAAACTGGAAACACGGGACTGGCCTCGGCGGGCCTCACTGCGCGGGAGTGAAGTTCGTGAGACCGCGTTGCTGCCGTCTCTTAGGGGAGGCGTTTTCCAGGTCGGATCATCGGTGTACGTCTACCACCAGCAATTCCTGTTGAGCCCCTGCTCTCTCCGCCTCTGCTCCCCGACTCCTGGCCCAGGTGGGGCGGTGTTCTCCACGGGAGGCTCCGCGGCTCCGGGCCGGCGAGGGGCCGCGCTGGCCTGTATCCCGGGCTGGCACTTCCCATGGCGTCACCTGTGGCTCCGCTCCCCACGCGGGAACCAGACTTGGCCGGGCGCAAGGGGAGGAAACCTGAGCCCGTGAGCTTCGCGGACGTCGCCGTGTACTTCTCCCGGGAGGAGTGGGGGTGTCTGCGGCCCACGCAGAGGGCCCTGTACCGGGACGTGATGCGGGAGACCTACGGCCTCCTTGGCACGCTCGGTGAGAGCCGTCCCTGCGCGCCGGGGCCCTCCTTCCCGTCCCCACCGCCCAAACTCTGTGGCCTGCACATAAGTGGGATGCCCATGTTCCGGGGACTCGGGACTGCGTGGAGGCAGCCTCCCACCAGTGTAGGGTTTGGTTCTTCTTTCCCAGGTTTCAGAAGTACCAAGCCAGCCCTCATCTCCTGGGTGGAGGAAGAGGCCGAATTGTGGGGTCCGGACGCACGGGATCCAGAGGTGGGAGAGTGTCTGACAGAAGCAGACACAGGTGAAGTAGTCAGGACTCTGTGTCACCTGACTTCCTCTGGGCCTGACCCATCCCGTCACCGGCCAGCTCCTTAGCAGCTCATCAGTTTCTTCTTTGAGTTGCTTCCCCAGCAAGTTTGTTATGCCTGGCCTTTGCCTAGCTTAAGGATACAGACTAGAAAGGGGCACCTCTGCTTGGGTGTGGAGCCCTGGCATTCCTGCCCCTCCGTTCCCAGCTCTGGGGAATCTGAGTGCCGGCACATCTAGTTGGCCTGTATGCTGTTGAGTGGCACATCATCCCTCCTGCTGTTTTTCTACACTGTAGTTTCTCTGCCACCTCCTGTATGTTAGTTTCTGTTAGGCGTTCTGTAGCAGCCTCCTTTATCTTGACTTCCATTGTTACTTCTCCAGTTCATACTGTCAACAGTGCCCAGCCCTTCTGCTCTTGTCAGTGCCAGCCACGGTTATGCCTGTCTTTGTGATTTTCCTGCTGTCTGGAGCATCCTTAAGCAAACATTCATCCCCATGGTCCAGCACAAGCTACCCTCCCCCATGTCCCCAGCTCTAAGGTTAGAAATTACTGTTTCTCTGTTCCTTCTCTCTCTGCCTCTGCATGTGAGAAAAAGGTGTCACTTGTAGCCTCTACTTCCCATACCAAGCTGAGTTCCAGAGGCAGCAGTGGCTCCATAGGTGGCCATTATTGAAGAAGCTTCTCTGTCACCATATGGGGTGTGGGATTCAAGGACCAGGATGAGCCAGGTTCTGAGCTCTCTGTTTATCTCGCAGCAGATTCCAGAAACAAGGAAGAGAAAGAACAAAGAGAAGGGACTGAGGCCCTGGAGGAGATCCTCTCTGTGGACTCTCGGCCTCCTGGACTGAAGGCTCTCAAACCCTCTTCTGCAGGGCTCCTTTATGGTTTGGAGCAGCCACGTAGGGTGCCTCGCTGGGGTCGCCCCCCACTCTGTGCCCTTCCCCCTGTTCCAAGGGCAGACCAGCGTCACGGTTGCTATGTGTGTGGGAAGAGTTTTGCCTGGCGCTCTACCCTGGTCGAGCACCTATACACCCACACAGGTGAGAGGCCCTTCTGTTGCCCTGACTGTGGTAAGGGCTTCAGCCAGGCCTCCTCTCTGAGCAAGCACCGGGCCATCCACCGTGGGGAGCGGCCTCACTGCTGCCCGGATTGTGGCCGGGCCTTCACCCAGCGCTCTTCCCTCACCACCCACCTACGGGTACACACAGGCGAGAAACCCTACTGCTGTGCTGACTGTGGCCGCTGCTTCAGCCAGAGCTCTGCCCTCCACCAGCATCAGCGGGTCCACAGTGGCGAGACCCCCTTCCCATGCCTGGACTGTGGCCGTGCCTTTGCCCATGCCTCAGACCTACGGCGCCATGTGCGCACCCATACGGGCGAGAAGCCCTACCCGTGTCCAGACTGTGGGCGCTGCTTCCGCCAGAGCTCCGAAATGGCTGCACACCGGCGCACCCACAGTGGTGAACGCCCCTACCCCTGTCCTCAGTGTGGCAGGTGCTTTGGCCAGAAGTCAGCTATGGCCAGGCACCAGTGGGTGCATAGGCCTGAGGCTGGGGGCCATAGGGGTCGAGGTGCCAGTGTGTTGCCTGTGCCCCTGGCTCCTGACCAAGGGGACCTGGACCCACCAGTGGGCTTCCAGCACTACCCAGAGATATTCCAGGAGTGTGGGTGATTGCTTCAGATAGGACAAGGCAAAGGCTGAAGATCTAGACATTGCCTGAGGCCCAACCTGGGCCTAGGGGCCTGAACCTCTTTGGCAGCTCCAGGAAGGTCACAGAATTCCTGGCAAGAAGTGGGCCTCGGGGATGGGGACTGTCTTATCTTAGGCCCTCACCAGCTTGATCTGCTGTTTCTTGCTTCCTATTGTCACAGACTCTAGAAGCCCCCTTTGCTGAGTTAGGCCTGAGGTTAGAACCCCCATTAAACCTCTACTGTGGGGAAGAAAAGGGTATTTTTCAGAAGTATTAGGAGGATTGAGATAGAGAAGAACTTTGTTTTACCCATTGTCTTTTTACTGCAGAAGTTAAAATGGGTGACCATGTGCTGAATCTGACCTACAACAGCCTTTTTTTTTTTTCTCAGCCTGCATTTAAAAGTGTTATGAAATAATGGCCAGCATTTAAAAGTGTTATGAAATATTGGTTAAGATTTACAAGTTCAGATATTTTACACATAAATCCAGGTTTCTGGCCTGTCTTGCTGAATCCAAAGATTTGGCAACTTGACCTGAGATCCCACAAAACCACAAAGTGTGGGAGCCCCCTTTGGATGGAGCTGGAGCCATGTTCTACAGTTGAGCATGCCTGCCACTCCTTACCTGCTCCTGACCAGCATCAGCTGGCACTTGTCATAGCTTGTGCGTGTCTCTGGCAAAGCAGACCCTCCACATCTGGCATTTTCCACTCATGTACATGACCTTTTGGGGTTCTGTTGTCATTTGCATTTGTAAACTGTAGTTGATGGCATTCAAATATTCCTGAATCAGGGAGTCAGGTAGAGCACATATGTGAAAGGGTGGCAGAAGTAAAAGCAGGCTTTATTTTAGATCTTCGTGTGTATTGCATTCCATGGTTCATAAGAGTGCTATCTGTCCATCAACTCATTTCATGCTTCTTACTGCCTAAGGGAAGAAGCATCTTGCTTGGAGAGGACAGCCCAGTCAGGAAGCGGTGATAAGGACTATCTTCTGCCCCAAACCAGCTGATATCTGCCATACCACAGCACCACTCTCAGCTGACCAACAGTCCTGGTTTTGAAGGGGAAGGCCCTGAGAGCACCTGCCTCTCCTCCTTGGGCCTCTGGGAGAACCTTATGGCTCAGGCCTTAGCCACCCTAGACCCAGCCAGGAGGGCCTCATCACACTTTTGAACTGGAAGAGATCTGCAGCTGGGGACACTGAGACTGGGGAAAGCTAAGCAACTTGTCCAAGGCCATATGCAGTGAGACTCCAGGGTTCTGGGTTTACTGCTGTCTTTACCACACCACTCCCGAGATCCTTGCCAGTGTCTCAGCCAGGGTTCTAAAGGCATCTGCCCACTCCCTGTGATGGCACCCAGGCACTGACCTGGACTAGGGACAGCAGCCCAGTGTCAGTGAAGCCCAGGTATAAGATGAGTGACACAGCTGCACAGCCAACCAAAGCATGGAAGAAACCAGCCTTAGATGAGAATTCCAGGGTGAACAATAGCGAAGTTTGTTAATCTACTTTCTTTTGGACCTGCCATCATGCACAAATGGGGACTTGTTCTTAGGGTTAGTGCCAGAGGGAGCTGAACTCATCTACATTCCCAAGCTCTGCACAGAATCCCTCCCCTGTTGCCTTGTGACTCCATTGTCTGTCTACAATGAATTCCTTTGTAGTCAGAGTCCAGCCATGTCCAGGTGATGGAATCAGTCCGCCATGGGCTGATTTTAGATTTTCGGCAGACTGCTTCCTGCCTCTGATAGGATACCCTTCACCTCAAGGAGTAGAGGCACAGGCATATGCCCTCTACTAATCTGTGTGCACTTGTTTTCACTCAGCTCGGCCCCTTGTCTGGCCTACCTTAGGAAAAAATCAGATCTGTTAACCTGGAGAAACTTCAAAAGGAAGAGAAATTTTGGGGAAGAGATACCATTCAGGTGAGGTAATGCACTGACTTGATTCCGACCTTATCTTCAAATCTAACCTCAGCAAGACCTCTTTTATCCTAAACCTTACTGGGAGGACTGGCTTATGTGCCACTGTGTCACAAAGGGGATGTGGGGTAAGAAGAGGCACCTTGGCAGTAGGAGGTAACTTGGTAGCTTTTAATTCCCTAGAGAAGCCAGGGTACAATCCATTCCCTCCCATAACCCTCAGCGCTGGGAAAGCCTGGCCTGTAAATCCAGTTAGCTCAGACTCAAAGCTGGATTTGGACCCAGCCCTCAGTTTGCCAATTAAAGGTACCATAATTACTACTTTCTCTGAGTGCTTTGAAATTTGCAAGGCTTACTTAGGGCCCCCAAACCAGACCCAACTCTGCTTCCTGCCCTTGTGACCCAATTTTCTAACAGGTAATCAATTACTGAATGTCATGAAATGCTTAAGCCTCAGCCTCACCCCACTCTTAGCTCCTCATTTCCTGGCTTCCACCAAAGGTAGGGCTCCCTTTTATCTGCTGTCACAGGTCTTTGAGGCTCAGACCCTGAAGCAATTTAAAGGCAGGAAAAGGGTTTTCCTAGGGCTTCATTGGTGTACCGAGAGAAATGCTTGCTGCACTGGACAGAATGAGCCCCGTACGCATGGCCAGATTGAGAGGTCAAGGCTGTGGCCACATGACCCATCACTATTTTGTCCAAGCTGTGTAAGTAAGGTTAAGTATTACTTTGCTCCAAAGATCCCTAGAAATTTTTTGGAATATTTACGTACATCTTGCTAGGAACAGAATGTGCAAAGATGTTTATGACCCAAAGAGGCTAAAATCTGCTGTAGGCCAGTATTTTTTAAAGTAAGGCTTTTCTGCCACAGAATCATATGCAGTATATCTTTAAAATGTAGCTAGCTCCCTGGGCCCTGTCCCTAGCCTACTGAATCAGAATCACCAGGGATGGAATCTTTGCCTGTTAAAGCTGGAAAGAACCATGGCTCTGAGCAAAATGTTACTTTCTAGCTACTCTTAGTTTTGCAAGGGTAGGGGTTGATCTCAGAACTGTGTCATGCTGGGGGATGACCTAGACATACACACACAGACTCACATTTCCTTTGTTCTTCCCAAGGGGGCTTATGCATGCTGGTCTCTTCCTAGGTATCTCAGACCTTGAATATACAGGGGTATCTCTTGTATCTACAGAAGCCCTCTTGGAGGACTTGTCCTTTGCATGCAGGAAGGGAGCAGTTTATGCAGGGGCCCCTCTCATGCCGACAACCTTTGTCAGGGCTCTTGAGTGCAGGCCCAGAAATGTGGGCCAAGTTAGCTGGACCATAGCCTTGGCTGCACATTGAGTAGCTCTGCCCAAGGCTGCTGCTCACCAGGGATGTGGACAAAGTGGCCACCCAACTTGGAGCAGACACAGGGCTCCTCCTCACCAAGTCAGGGCAGAATAAGGTCATTAGACTCCTGCCTTGGAGTAGTTGGTGCTAGGTCAATTTGGAACCCTCATGAGAGGCTTCCCTGTGCTTAGAGCTCCTCACTGCTGTGGGTATGTGTCAGGCAGAGGCTGGCTGCCTCTTGAAGATCCATTGTATAGATAGGACTGGTGGAAGAGGCTGCCTGGAAGTCAGCTACTATTTTACTCTAGGCACTAGTGAGACTGAGTTTCACTTGCACAAACTCTGGGGCCAGAGAAGCTTGAAGCCCTGGCTCAGCTTTTGCTACACCTGGAGCTTGTGGCCCATGCTGTGAAGAGTGCAGGCAATGGGCCATGTCAGAGCTGTGGATAGGGGCCTTGCCATACACTTCACAGGGGACTGCTGCTTTCCTGTGTGGACTGCCTGGTGGGTAAGCAGGTTGGAGGTCAGAGGAAAGTGTCTCAGGAAGGAGATACTGTCTCTCATTTGTGTAAGTGCTTTGGGAATGATGGGAGCAATGGAGGGTGGGGGGTATCCCAGCCCAGCTCTTCTCATAACCAGTGTAGTTGTAGGGTCTTTTGACTGTTTGTGCCCCTTACTGTTGCACTATGTGAGCCATTCTTCACAAAGGTGTTAGGACATATGGACATTGGAATGGAAGAGAGGCATGGAGCTGGAAACTGTTCCACTGGAGGACAGAAAAGTACTCTCACTTTATTTGTAGGAAGATATTGTCTGTGATTCTATTCGTAAACTCTACTCTCCTCACTTGGAATTTTCCGAATTCTCATTCTCACCTCTTTTCAGGAGAATGAAGGTGCCATCGTTCCTCCTAATCAATTTCTTTCCTATATTTGTCTTCGGAAGGCAATAGGAAAACACAATCCATGGCTTCTGCATGACACAGGGAGATTTGGCTCATTCATTGTCAAGAATGCTACCAAACCAGTTTCAGCAGCAAAGGTAGAAAAGGGACAAGAATTGGATCTTACTGAATTGTCTTTTTCCTTGATACAAAGCTGCACTGAGGGCAGTGTTCTCAGGCCCCTTCCTCTGCAAGCTTCTTTCAAGTCAGACTGGATTGGAGAGTTCTTAGCTGCCTTAAAGGCCAGATGGTTCTCTCAGTCCACTTTCCTCCTGAACTCTCCCACCCTCACCTGGAAGGAATTTCCATAGGATCCCTGCCTTCCTGGGAGAAAATTCAGGAACCAGGGACTCAGGCTCCTAGGGACTGAGTTAAACTCTGTTAGGGGAAGATGGAGGGGCGAGACAGGGTAAAAGAAAGCAGCCTCCTCTCTGGGAGGATCCCCTGACTGTCCCTTAAGCACCTGGAACCAGTGAGAAGGAAAATGCTGGGAAAGGGAGTGTAGGGGAGACCGGTGATGGAAGGTGTTTGTCTTCAGATTCCTTGGCTTCAGAAGGATAAAACATAATAAAGGGTAAACGGAGGCGGGAAAAAGTTCTGAAAGCACAGAATCGCCCAGCAAGGAGACGCCAGAGACCTTCCTCCCACTCTTCCCGCAGGCCCTTCTGGATGACAAGGAAGGGCCCGCGCACCCTCTCACCAATCAGAAAGGGGCCTGGCGTTCCCTGGTGACCATTAGCGCCTAGCAGTTGGCATAGTAGGAGGTGGCGGGATGGTGAGAGCACAAGTTTCACCGGCCAATCGCTGAGCTCCCTAGGAGGTGGGGGCGGTGCCCCTGGAAACCTGAGGTGGGGCTGCTTCCTTGGCAACCAATGTGGCCCTTCGGAGGGAGGAAGGTTGGCTATTAAGAAGAGCAGAGAAGGGAGGGGGCTCGGAATAGTTGGGGTGGGTTGCGCCTGTGTGGGTGAGTGGAGTTCGAGTATGGGGACCCAGATTCGGAAGCCTCATGGGCCCAGGGTGGGGGGCCATCCATCCAAGTTCCCGAGGCGCCACCGGAGATGACCCCATGGCCCGGGAGGGGAGGGGAGGGGAGACAGACACCGTCCCCGCTGACGCCGGGAAGCGTCGCTCCTTCTCGCTGACCTTGGTCTCGCTTGTTGCCTCGCCCTTGGCCATAGGCACTGAAGGATGTAGGGTTCGGGAGGCAGACAGATAGGCTCCCGGGCGGACGAAGACCTAGGACATAGGCACACAAACTGACTTAGCCTTTCCCGCCGGCTCCAGGGCGGCCCCTCATCCCTCACCTCAACACCGGGGCCCCCCAGCCCAGGGTTAATGCCAACGAGTTTCCACCTCCAGCCGCTCCTAGAGAGGCCACTGCGGAGCTAGCGGGGGAAACTGGCCGCGGACGGACACTTCCTGTGCGGCGGAGGAGGGGGTCGGATAGCCGCAGCCCAGCCAGGGTCTTGGGAGCCAGGCTGCGGGGTCTTGGGCGGGAGCGGTATCCGGGAGCGCAGGGCCAGCCGTGAAGCCTCCCATCTCCGAGGCCACGAGGCGTGGGGGCCTGCGAGGGCCCCCGGGCAAGCCGAGACTTTGCGGGTGGGGGCGAGGCCGCGGGTAGGGGAGGGGCAAGGCGAGCCGGAGAGGCCCAGGGTCAAGACGTCCGGTCTCGGGGGCCGGGACTGGGAGCCGGGTCTCGTGGGCGGCACTGAGCAGGCCCTTGGCGGGCCCGGGTTTCTGGGCACTCAGGTCGGGTCGCAGGATCATCTACCTTCGCCGCCGCCGCCGCCGCACTGGGAACCGGCGGGGATGGAACGGGAGGCGTCGCCGTGGGGCCTCGAGTCCCGGGATGTACAAA